TTGGATTTCTTTTTGCACCAGTTTATTCTGTTTTTTGTTAAACATGCCCTTTGTTTTTGTTCTTACTCTGTAACTGCCCCAGATATTAAGTGATGAAGATGGAGACCTTGGTGATTGAGTGTGAGAAGTGAGTCTGAATGCCTGGGTTCAAATCCTCCTCTATTTACTAGATGGGTGACCTTGGACAATGTAACAAACAGTTGTTTCACAGTTTCTCTATCTGTGAAACAGAAATAGTAATAACTTTGTGAGATTTAGATGAGCTAATGCCTGTAAACTGCTTTGCATGTGCCAAGCCCATAGTAAGCACTCAGTAAGTGTAAACTCTAATTATCATATCATATGGTAATTATGATGGTGGTAAATGAGTGAGGTCATCTTAACATTTGGTCATACTCTACATTTGAGTAGCTTTAGACTTTCTGAAGATACTGTTTCCTGCAATGTTGCTCTGTAGGTGGGGAGGATATACCTATTACACAGTTAGAAAAATTGAACAGTAGAGATTATGTGTTGTCCTATACTTAATGACTGTAGGGCCTGAGTGGGTCTTAATGTTACAATCTGGTAAGAACTCTTCCTGACCTCTTTGCCCATTTATAAACATCCCTTCAGGTTGACCTGAGTGACATCATTTTCTAGCTATGTAATCCTGGTGGTATGAAAACTCTGGGGGTCTATAGTTTTTTAGAACTATGACTTAGTACTAATACTAGCCTCTTCAGTACTCATACTCTTAAGGCTTAGTATTCGTTTCTTTAGTAATTTGCATATTTGAAACTTAGCCAGTTTTCCAAGGTGAGTAGATATTTCATATGTCTGCTTTCTGGTAGGTAGCAGCAGTTGTGCAATTACTCAGTATTGGCAGTTCTGTTACTTAATACAGAGGCCTAGAGGGAAAGACTTATTCAGAAACAAAACCTCTGCTTGAAAAGTTCTCAAGGCTAGCTATGGTGGCTTGGCCTGCAGTCCTAGCACTTTGGGAGGCTGAGGCAGGAGGATCACTTGATCCCAAGAGTTTGAAGGTACACTGAGCCATTGATATGGCTCCGTTGTCTGGAGAAACCCAGGGTCCCTTGCCTCTCACTGAGAAAATCAGCGACATGGACACACTTGGAGTGGTTTAAGAAGCAGGGGGCCGGGCGCGGTGGCTCAAGCCTATGATCCCAGCACTTTGGGAGGCCGAGGCGGGTGGATCATGAGGTCAAGAGATCGAGACCATCCTGGTCAACATGGTGAAACCCCGTCTCTACTAAAACTACGAAAAATTAGCTGGGCATGGTAGCACATGCCTGTAATCCCAGCTACTCAGGAGGCTGAGGCAGGAGAATTGCCTGAACCCAGGAGGCGGAGGTTGCAGTGAGCCGAGATCGCGCCATTGCACTCCAGCCTGGGTAACAAGAGCGAAACTCTGTCTCAAAAAAAAAGAAGCAGAAAGTTTAACAGGCAAGAAAGAAGAAAACAGCTCCACCATACAGAGGCAAGAGGGCTCCGAACAGAAAACTCCCACTGGTGGGGGTGAGGGGAGAATGTAGTTGGTTATTTTGGGAAGCTAGATGAGGCGGGTGTCTAATTTGTTTAGGGCCCAGAGGGTTGGTTTGACCAGGGGTGTCATTCAAGTAGCCTTTGAAAAACTGGCCTTCCCACCCTAGCCTTTTAATATGTAAATGCAACTACCTGGCTGGTTGCCATGATGTCCTGCACACGTGGCAAGAAAAAGTGGCAGGAACCGCCATATTGGGTGGACCTGGCTTTTAGCCGCTGGCATTTGCATATCAATACTTGCAGGTCTGGTTTTTCAGGCTGCTTTCTGTTAGAAAAGAAATGTTTTGGGGGTTGCTTTTTTAGTAAAAGAAAAAGCCTTACTGAGGACTCTTTTATCCTATTTGCCTAAAATAACTTTCTAATAACTCTTGTAATCCCATGATGGTGCCTCTGCACTCCAGCCTGTGTGACAGAGCTCTAAGAACTAAGACCCTGTCTCTTAAAAGACAAAAAAAAACCCGAAAGAAAAAATGAGGCTGGGTGCAATGGCCCACACCTGTAATCCCAACACTTTGGGAGGCTGAGGCAGGTGGATCACTTGAGGCCAGGAGTTTGAGATCAGCCTGGCCTGTTACATGGTGAAACCCCATCTCTACTTTAAAAAAAAAAAATTTAGTCTGGTATGGTAGCGCACACCTGTAATTCCAGCTACTGGGGATGCTGAGGCAGGAGAATCGTGAATCACTTGAACCTCGGAGGTGGAGGTTGCAGTGAGCTGAGATCATGCCACTGCACTTCAGCCTGGGCAATAGAGTGAATGAGACTCTGTGTTAAAAATCAAAAAGACTAAACAAACTTTCTCAAGTCATGTTCAGGAGATAATGGCGGACATAGTGGAAACTCTCTAAATCTGATTTTCCCCAACTATAAAATGAAGGGCCTGGATCAGGAGGTATTTAAGGACCTTGCACGTTTTAAGACATGGCCATCTTGAGATTAGAAACAGTCCTGTAGGTTCTTAGGGCATGATGAAGACCTTTGAGGAGAAGTATTTTAACTAACAGCCTTGTGTCTTGGGTAGAAAGAGGCATGGGGAGGTTATTAGGTGGGCATTAAAGGAGCAACTGGAGAAAGGAGACACTAGGAGGCTGTTTTGATAATCCACATTCAAGGTAGGCTGCCCCTTCCTGAGTGCTGGAGGGCACTTGCACCTTGGGATGGGGTCAAGGTTTTCTTCAAGATAGCATCTTTCATAGGCCCTAGGAGCCTTCTTTCATGAGCTTGCTGCCCTGGTTCATGAGGGAGGGATTGATGGATACATGCCCCCTTGTGTTTTTTTTTGCTAGCACTGTCTTCACACCCTCTTGCCATTTATGTTTTTTGATGAATGATTAATTAGAAAAATCATCATTTGTAAATTGTGAGTGAACCAGACATTTGGCCCTGACTGTAGGGAAATGGCGCCTCTGAGCTGGGTGTAGCTTGCAGCCAGTACATCAGAGCTGCAGTATTCCCAGACCAGTGGTGAATTTACATGAAGTTCCTTTTCAGCATGTTAATGACTGTTATAGCTGAGTAACTAGTGAAAAATAATATCAAATGGGAAGAGGAAATATTTAATGCTTTTTTTTTAATCATTTTTAGCTTACTGTGAAATATGTATTTTGATTTAGGAAGGACATAAGAGTCAGACATTAGATAAAATGTTAGTTTGTGCCTCATTACTTGTTTTGTTTTCTTTCTTTGTATTAATAAAATTAAAAGGATAAAGTGAGTTGTTGTGAGATGGATTTTACTAGTTGAGTGGTTTTTCTGTAAGTTTTAGGTCACAGGTATGTCTTTCCTGGTAGTTAGAATCTATATGTTCAGTCTGCCTCATTGATTAAATGCCTGGTGTGTATTGTTTCTAAAATTCAGCTGTCATCATTTTACTCCCCCGCTTAAAAACTTCAGTGACTCCACACTGCGTCTGGGCTGAAAGATATTCTCAGTAGCCTGGCTTTTAAGGAAGGGGCTCTGTGCTGCTGAGCTCATGCAGTGGCATGATCTTTCCAGGCTGTCTCCCTAAGGCAGCTCCATGTGGCTACATTGCGCAAGCCACAGAGGTTGACTCCTTGTTCCTGTAACTTGCCGGAGGCTTCCTCACCTTTGCACCTCTGCTCAGATGATTTTGGGGCATGAAATGACCCTGTCTTTTTCTCTATCTAAAGCCTGCTTATCCTCCAAGGCCCAGTTTTAGAAGTTTCTATGGCTACTCTGACTGGATAGGAGCCTGTTCATTTTGGAACATAGAGAAAATTGAAAGTAGGTCACAAATCTCTGTGCTTTCCATTTTGACATCTCTCTACCTCAGAAAATTCATAATGAATCCTACTTTTCCCCACTTCCTGTTTGGCCACCATCTAGTCTTAGACAAACTAAGCTGTTTGTCCAGGTAAACAAGTAGTTGTGGACCACAGAAATTTCTGATCATTAGAATTGAAGTTAGTAGGGATATAGGCCTCAAGGATAGTGCCATATTTTCTGAAGTCAGAAGATTTTCAGGCAGAAGATTTTACCAACAGCATTTATATAAAGTCCTGCTTTAGTCTGAGGCTGCAGTAGTAGAAGTAGAGAGTATCTAAAGAAGGGATACATGCCCTTTTTTTTTTTTTTTTTTTTTTTAAATAAAGATAGTGTCTCACGAAGTTGCCCAGGCTGGTCTGAAATTCCTGAGCTCAGATGATCCTCTTAAAGTGCTAGAATTACAGGCATGAGCCACCACTTGTGGCCAGTCCATGCCTTTTTACATTGTTGTTGAGATTGTCTTGGAGTGGTGAGTTCAGACTCAGATAAAACAATAATCTTCAGAGGAAATGACCAAAATGACCAGAGGTAGGCCTGAAAACATGAAGGCTGCATGGGTAGGAGAGAACAAGGAAGTCCATGCCTTCTGTTTTCAGTTATTCAGGAGGCTATTTTCAGGAAGGAGATCTGTTAGACTTCATGTATGGAACCATGGAGTGAGAACAAAGATTACTGGCTATAGGCTATAGGAAGATTAATTTTAGACTGTTGTAAGAAATAGTTTTCTCATAGTGCTGTGAAACAATGCATTTTCCCAGGAAATAGTAAGTTTCCCAAGTAGGAAGGGATGTGAACAACAGGAGTTGATATTGTAATCGTGAATATATGCGGCCTTATAGTAAAAGGACCACAGATACTGGAATGGCAGACCTTTAGGAATAAGTCATTTTCTACTGTAGGGTTTTAGAGGTTTCATAATAGAAAGTAACAAATCTTGTTTCTAAAAACAGGAATAAATCCTAATATGAACCAAAAAAAATATATTAGGTACAGTTTTCTGAGTTTATATTGAAATGATGAAAAGAGATCTGGAACTGGGGTTTAAAAAAAAGAGATCTGGAACTGGGAGACCTGGAACATACTGGGTTTAGGTACCTTAAGAATAGTGTTTAAGAATGACGAGAGATTTGCAGAATTTCTAAGGACTCAAGCAGTTTCAAAAAATATACTTAATATTACTCTTTATGTTTTTGAGACACTTAAGAAAATTCTGTTGTTTTCAAAATATAATAGAAAAGTAATATTACACAGTGGTCTTGACACAAGTAATCTGAGTATGCTTTATAGAGGCCTCTAAGAATTAAGAATCATAGCCCAGGTTGCAAATTTTAATGCATGCATACATTTTTTCTGTGGAACATAGCTTTTGTCAGATTCTTGGCAGTGGCTCTGATCCAGAAAACATTAAGAACCACTGGTCTTGAGTAGTGGTTCTCAGCTTTTTTGGTCTTAACCCACTTAGGTGGGACAGAAGCTCCTTATCCCATTTATACCATCCAGCATCAAGATAAGTGCATGCTAATAGGAGTCGTACAAATATTTTGTTTTATAAAAGTATCCCATAAGCTTTAAAAATGTGATTTTGTCATACTTACCTTGGTAAAGTAGATTGCAAGTTATTTAGAGAATATGAAGTCACAGATGAATGTTTACTATAGTAGTCTTTTTGGAGGTAGTCTTAGTCTGTGTATGTCTTCTTTAGCCACGGGGATTTGGATTATTCTTATTTTAACTATACCACATACCAGTCTCATTATTGGAAAATTACAGGACAAAAATATAAATGACTTAAATATGCACCACTGCACATCAAGAGATTAAACAGATAATTTTCAAAAAATCAAATTTCTAATGATACAGTTAAAGTAAGTAATTTATATTTAAAAAGCAGGAATAGCAGCTTTGCAAACTGTGATTGATTTAAGACTGCAATGAGGTTACAGTGATAATAAATCATTCTTCTGGAGAATTGTGACAATTTTGAAAGTTCTAACTGTTGGTGTGTGAAAGTGTATGGTAGACACTTTGCAGAATTATATATTAGCTGATGTTCTTGGTCTGCCAATTTCAAGTTCTTTATATACTTTGCTAACTTGCTGATATTAATTTATTAATACAGATTTTTTAGGACTCCCCTCACTTATTTAAGGTAACTAGTAAGTAGCTCTTGGTCAGTTTAAAGAAAACAAATATCTGTGGAAATGTACTTGTGGGTAGCAGTGATTCTAGAGCCCTATGTTAAGAAACACTAGTCTAATGGATCAACTTATAGGTAAATGATATTAAACATTTTGAGTAGGATTAAGATCCAGGAGACTATCTGAATAATGACTTCTCTCTCTCCCTCTTTTTAAAATATGATCATCCTAATGCATATGATAACTCTTTCTTTCTAAATACCTTCTATTTGCCAACCCTCTTAAACCTGGCCCTGAAGTTAAGATCAACAGCTATGTTTGAATAATTTTTTTCCTTCTCCTCTGCTTTGCTTTTTCTATCAAATTGAAATGCCCTGGCACTTTCTTCCCTCTTTGAAAACCCAAAAGAGGATTAGGCCATATAATGGACTATTTATGTGTCAAATTAAACGTTTTACTCTGAGGCTGTTTCTGAGTTATGCGAGCAGTAAAAATATGTATTAAGCTGCCAAGCCTTTTAAAAAATGCATATTATTTAGCGGATAGCCTGTAACAGTCTGATGGACCCATAATGGTGTTTTGAGTGAATATGCATTTGAACAATTTATAAAACTTAGGTTTACATGTGTATTAAACAGCCTGGGTAGGGAGTGACCAAAAGTTATTACCAATTGACAGCTGTTATCTGGTGACCAATTTGAAGTGAATTAGTAGATTACCTTCAGTGTAGAATACACAAGTTTCCTAGTCAGGGGAGCAGGCTGAATAATTGTCAGTGCGTGAGGCCACAGCCCCGGAGGCCTGTGTGTTGCTTAAAGTACTGGAGTAAAATGTCGAATCTCTACAGTGAAGTTGCACCTTAGATTCACATTTATGATCTAGTTCATTTTGTACTTGGAAATTTATAATTATGTTTACAGAGTACAGGCTGTGTATAACAATATATACTGTCCTTGGGAAGAGGGTTCATGTTTGTTTATTTGCTTTTCTTCTTTATTAACTAACATATAATCGTACATATTTATGATGTACGTAGTGATATTCGATATATACAGTGTATAGTGATCAGATCAGGGTAATTAGCATTTCATCATCTCAAACATTTATCATTTCTTTGTGATGGGTGCATTTAATGTCTCCCGTCTAGCTATTTGACAGTATGTAATATTGTTAACTATAGTCATCTTCCAGTGTGCTATAGAACACTATAATAGAAATTATTCCTCCTATTTAGCTGTAATTTTGTTTCCTTTAACAGAGCTCTCCCTATCCTCCACACCCCTCCCTTGTTTATTTCTTTGGCATCAATGCATCTAGGGCAGTGATCTTGAAATTTTTATGATGTGTCAAAAATACATAGTTCATATTTGTTCATGTTAAAATTATATGCATATTTATATATATAAATTTTATTCCAAAATTAGGAGTTTAAAGGATTGAGATTAAAAATTAGGTATACATAGATAACTTGATTTTTTTTTTTTTTGGTTCCTGAATGAATCCTCTTTCGCACTCCCTGAGATGTGCAGATTTTGCCTTGGAGATCAAGGCCATGGTCTTGAAACCTTTGTGCAATGAAGAGGGCATCGTGAATATAGTCATTCATAAACTGGAGCAAATCATTCAACTACCTTGAGGTCTCTAGTTTCCTTATTTGTTGAATGTAGATCTCTGTCTGGGGGGGCTGTCATAAAGATTACTGATAGTAAATGTCAGGTGTCTACCTTGACCACAAAATCACTTTCTCAGAGAGGCTTTTCCTGACCTCTTTTCTCCCTGATAGCTCCTCTTTTCTTCCTGATCACTCTCTAACTCTTTGCTTTGTATTTTAGTTATTTATTTTTTTTGAGACAGAATCTCGCCCTGTCGGCCAGGCTGGAGTGAAGTAGCGCAATCTTAGCTTACTGCAACCTCCATTTCCAGGGCTCAAGCAATTTTCCTGTCCCAGCCTCCGGAGTAGCTGGGATTACAGGCATGTGTCCCCATGCTTGGCTAATTTTTGTAATTTTTTTTTTTCTTTTAGTAGAGACAGGGTTTCACCACGTTGGCCAGGCTGGTCTCAAATTCCTGACCTCAGGTGATCTGCCTGCCTTGGCTTCCCAAAGTTCTGGGTTTAGAGGCATGAGCCACTGCACCCAGCCAACTCCTTACTTCTGTTTAAACAACTTTTTTCCATCTGAATGAATATTGTTTTAAGTATCTACTGGATTGGAAGCTTTGTGAAGGGAGATATTTTTAAAATTTTACTTTTTTGTTCTGTTTGCTGCTGTATCCATAACTCCTAGATAGCACATGCATGGCACATAGTAGGTACTCAGTAAATATTGTGATTTGAATATTTTATTACTTACTAGTTGATTAATAGAGGCTGTTATTGTTTTCACGTAGTATGCTACATATAATATAGTTGGTGTTCTAGAATAGAAGAAATAATTCTCCATGTATGAATTGCTCTCACTGTTACAGGATCCTTAGGGGGTCACTTTTCCAGCTGGAAACCTCTGTGGCCTGTGGTGCCTTTGCCCAAGTTTTATTCGGGCCTGCTGGGATTGTTCCACCCACTCAACTGGGCAGGCTGCACCCGGCTTATGCCACCAGCCTGGATCCCATGCCTGCTAAGTGTGAGCCAGGTGTGGAGCTGCGAGGGGTGTAGGAGTAAGCATGGGGTCCAGCCACTGGCACAGCCAGGTATGCTGGTACCAGGGAATGCGATGGTGCCTGGAAGCTTGGAGACGCCAGGAACCTCAGAGCCTCAAAGAGGGTGTTGTAGTCCTGGTTTGTGGAGTCGCTAGGTTTGGGATCCCTAAAGGGCTGCGATTATTTTCTCCTTCTTGTTGCCTGCAGTGTGGCTAGTAGGGGTGAGTGTTTCAGCCCTCTTGGTGTTAACACCTCTTTCAGTCCCCCATTTGGCGGGTCCCAAGTTCTTGTCCTATATCCAGGAAGAATGAGATACATGGACAGCCAGAGGGTGAGCAAGGTAGAGAGGAGCTTCATTTGAGTGACACAACAGACCTCAGGAGACCTGAAGTGGGTAGCTCCCTTTCATATGCAGGTCGTCCCGATGAATGTCCAGCTCTCAGTGGACAGGAGACCCGTAGTGGGTAAGTACTTTCCACAGGCAGATCATCCTGATGAATTGAGGAGACCCAAAGCGGGTAGCTCCTTCCTACAGCTGGTAGTCACAACATCTGCCTGGAACTACCTGAATCTCCATGGGTTTTTATGGGCTCGGAAGGGAGGAAGTATGTGGTGATTGGTCCATGGGTGGCCATGGGTGGGCACTGTAAGTTCTCATTCCAGGCCACATACTGCACCTGGAACTGGCAGCCTGGCTTCCAGACTTGAGGCTATCCCTGGCTTGAAGTTGGGGTTTCACAGGGGACCCACCCTTTTCTGCCCAGGAACCTTCTGCCTCTCACCATCAACATGCCATCCATGGTGCCCAGGCTGTTTGTTCAGAGGAGTGCCTGCAGGCCCATGTCAAGCTACCCTCACCTCTCACCCCCATCCCCTGCCTCACTCTTGCACCTGTTCACACCCAAAGTCCAGAAGGGGCCAAGATGACAGAGGGCTGGTGTGTCAGTACCACCTTGAGCTAATAGTGTACACCTAGCTGGGTTGCAGCAGTGCCTGGGCTGAGCCACAACTTTGCTCCGCACCAGAGCAGGTGCTGGGAATAGGGAGAAGCCAGGGAGTGGGAGCAGGTACTTACAAGCCTGTGGGCGTTGGGCCCCCAAGAGTGCAGGGATGCCTGGGTCCAGAGCCATAACTGGGAAGCTGCAGCTGTGCCCAGGAGTGCAGGGTTCCCACTCTGCTAACTTGGTAGGGGGTGGGGCTCCTGTCTGTTCCTGGCTATGCCTCCCCTGATGCAGTGGATGTCTTCACAGTGGCCGCTCCAGGTAGGCAACTCTGCCATCATCAGTGGGATACAAGGCAGGAAGTGTTCTTTCCTGTAGGGAGGATAGATTTTTTTTCTCTGTTACAGGTAGCATCTGGCAGGCATGTAGAAGTTAGACATGAAGCCTCTAGCCATGGATCTGAGCCAAGTAGACTGACCTGTGTAAGGTTCAGATGCCTCAACCATAGCCTCTTTAGCTCCTTGTTTTTGTCCACTGTGCCATCCAGCTGAGCACCTGAGAGCTTGAAGCTGAGAGCTTCAGTGGGGCCAGTGCCTACAGGGACCATGTGTATAGGCTTTGGAGGTGGGATAATTGGCGCTGCCAGTGGTCCTTTGGCTCACTTAAGGAGAACACCTGTGACCTCTGCAATCTTCCTTTACCCCCCACCCCTATAGGTAGACTACTTTGGCATTCTGTGCCATTCCAAGTCTGTAGAAATAATAGAACAAACATGATTTTTTGCATGATTGGTAGTGAGGACTGGAGGGGAAATAACCACACCTTTGGAAGACTTTGGTGGCCCTTTGAAATGAAGAGTTTTTATAGAAACACTTCTCATTTTAAAGACCTATTTTTTTTGTTTGTTTTTTTGTTGAGACAGTCTTCCACTGTCACCCAGGCTGTACTGCAGTGGTATGATCTTGGCTCACTGCAATCTCTGCCTCCTGGGTTAAAGCAGTTCTCCTGCCTCAGCCTCCTGAGTAGCTGGGACTACAGGCATGCGCCACGCCCAGCTAATTTTTTTGTATTTTTAGTTGAGATGGGGTTTCACCATGTTGACCAAGATGATCTCAATCTTCTGACCTTGTGATCTGCCCTCCTATGCCTCCCAAAGTACTGGGATTACAGGTGTGAGTCACCACACCTGGCCAAGACCTATCATTTTTAAGGTCATTCTTCTGCTAGGGCTGTGAAATAAAGACATATGAAATGTTTTCCAGTGTTGCTCTGGGACAAATTTGTGTGATGATTTTATTGGAGAAATGGATGAATATGAGATTGGAGAGTCTTTACATGTATGAACCATCACATATATAGTTCAGTGGCCTGAAAACATTAACAAATCTTATTTTTTTGAGATAGAGTCTCGCTCTGTTGTCTAGGCTCAAGTACAGTGGCCCAATCTCGGCTCACTGCAACCTCCGCCTCCTGGGTTCAAGAGTTCTCCTGCCTCAGCCTCCTGAGTAGTGCGCCACCACGCCTGGCAAATTTTTATATTTTAGAGACGGGTTTTACCATGTTTGTCAAACTGGTCTCGAACTCCTGATCTCGTGATCCACGCGCCTTGGCCTCCCAGAGTGCTGGGATTATAGGCGTGAGCCACTACATGAGGCCCCTTATGTCGTTCAATTTGATTCTTACCTATTGTCTCTTCAGTTGATGCAAATTTGCATTCAACTTTTCCTGAGGGGAAATGGAGAGATATTTTCTGGGATCAGCTGATGATCTTAAACTTGATTTTTTTTTTTGAGATGGAGCTCTTCTCTAACGCCTAGGCTGGAGTGCAGTGGAACCTTCTTGGCTCACTACAACCTCCACCTCCTGGGTTCAAGTAATTCTCCTGCCTCACCCTCCTGAGTAGCTGGGATTACAAGTGCATGCCACCATGCCCAGCTAGTTAGTAGAGATGGGGTTTCACCATTATGGTCAGGCTGGTCTTGAACTCGACCTCGTGATTTGCCTGCCTTGGCCTCCCAAAGTGCTGGAATTATAGGCCTGAGCCACTGCACCTGGCTGAACTTGACTATTTTAAAGAGTCATGGCAGATGCCAATTTGGACTGTGTTTAGGATGGGGTTTGGGGGGTGGTTCCATTGTTCTTTTTTGTCCCACATCGTCTAACAACCTATTTGTTTAGGGAGTTTTATACTGCTTAGAGTGAGCTAAGAATGTGCTCAAGCACATAATGTTAGCCTATTTTTCAGGCTTACATGAAAACTCTGAAACCCCTCTAGGTTCTAGCTTTCAGGAGGCTGGTTAGGAATGCACTGACCGAGAGACTTCCCTAAAAATTAATTTAGAAACATGCTAGAACTTTCCTTACCTTAACTTTGAGAAAAGGATCTCTCTCATGGCATTTTGAAGTGTTGTGGTAGATGGAAATAATGAGGAAACTGCCACCTTGAACAGAGTGAGAGGTTTAGAGCTATATAAACTTTAGTCTTTGACTCTGTCATTAATTACTTGTTCTGTCATGAGTGAGTTACTTAACATTTCCTGAGCCTGTCTCTACTAAAAGAAAAAAAAATTACAAAAATTTCAGCATCTGTACAATGAGGATTATATTTATTTCATACTGTTGTGGAGACTTGAGCAACAGAATGTGAAAACATCGGTCAGTGCCTGGTGTATTCTGGAGATTCGGTAAATCTTGGTAGCCCATTTCCCCCTTTTAGGGGTAAAGCCAAAGGTCTTTTTTTGGCAAATAGTTGAGATACTTGATGCCAAAAGGAAATTTAACTCATGCCATGACAAGTTTTTTTGTGCAAGTATGGCATTCTGGAAATAGGATAGTTTTTTTCTTTTGGCCATATGGATTAGCAAAGCCTTTAGACAACTACAGAAAAGACTACTTTGTTGCCTCTGGATGTGTGTGTTATTTTGGACTGTTAATGTAGTTGATTCAAAAACTGGAACCTTTTCTTTTGTCCTTAAGATTCCTGCATTTTCATGTGTTCATCCAGCTGGGATTTGTATTTCATAGAACCAGGAGTATTGGAGATAGAAGAGATATTCTGATGTCCTCTCTCTCTCTCTCTCTCTCTCTCTCTCTCTCTCTCTCCCTCCCCCCCTCCCCCTCTCCCCCCCCCCCCCCCCCCCCCCCCCCCCCAAAGAAGAAAAGGCAAAATTTAGAGAATTTGGGACTTGGTCAAAGTTGTGTAGCTAGTTATTGATGAAGCTGAAATTACCCCAGATTTGATTTCCATGACATTGCTTTAGCGTGGTGATTCTCAAAGAATGACTATTGGACCACTAGCATCCCTTGGGAATTTGTTGATATGCAAATTCATGAGCTCCCCACTCCTTTATTAGAAATTTTAATAAGCTGTCAAGGGTGATTCTGATAGCTGCTAAAACTTGGGAACCACTACTGTTGTCTTTACACTATTGGGCCTGGAGATGGGAAACTCCAGGTAGATTTGCTGAATTTCATGGGCAACACTAGGTTTTCATTTTACCTTATTGTTCTACCATTTAGATATCTCCTTCTAAAACAGTTTAACTTGTAGTGATGGCTTCTTTAGACTTGTGCGTGACTGTTGCTGGGGCAGTTAGGTAGACCTAATACTTGTTGCTCGTTTACTCGTTGCTACCAAGTACTAGTTCTGAAAGTTGAGTATTCATTTAAAACAAATAGGGATTTTTGGGTCTCACTCCTGGAAATTCTGATTCAGTGGGTTAAGGATTAGGAATGTTCAATTTTTGAAAGCCCTTCAGGTGATTTTTTTTCCTACTTTTTAAAAGCTATAATTTTTCTTTCTTTTTTTTTTTTTTTTCTTTTTTTTTTTTTTGAGACGGAGTTTCACTCATGTTACCCAGGCTGGAGTGCAATGGCGCGATCTCGGCTCACCGCACCCTCCGCCTCCTGGGTTCAGGCAATTCTCCTGCCTCAGCCTCCTGAGTACCTGGGATTACAGGCACGCACCACCATGCCCAGCTGATTTTTTGTATTTTTAGTAGAGATGAGGTTTCACCATGTTGACCAGGATGGTCTCGATCTCTTGACCTCATGATCCACCCACCTCGGCCTCCCAAAGTGCTGGGATTACAGGCTTGAGCCACCGCGCCCGGCCTAAAAGCTATAATTTTTCTTTTCTTTTTTTTTTTTTGAGACGGAGTTTCGCTCTTGTTACCCAGCTGGAGTGCAATGGCGCGATCTCGGCTCACCGCAACCTCTGCCTCCTGGGTTCAGGCAATTCTCCTGCCTCAGCCTCCTGAGTAGCTGGGATTACAGGCATGGACCACCATGCCCAGCTGATTTTTTGTATTTTTAGTAGAGACAGGGTTTCACCATGTTGACCAGTATGGTCTCGATCTCTTGACCTCGTGATCCACCTGCCTCGGCCTCCCAAAGTGCTGGGATTACAGGCGTGAGCCACCGCGCCCGGCCTATTTTCTTTACTGTTCTTTTAAGACATCCTGTTATAGCATTTGCAGGTGATTTTGATGCCCAGCCATATTTGGGGAAAACTGCATTGCAGGAACAAAGAATAGATCATGAGTGAAACTCTGGGTTTTCATAAGTGGTATAGTTGGCCTTTGTTGTTCTGTATTTGGGTGCTAGTGGACAGGAGTTATCTAAAATAAGTAATTATAAAAGAAGTGATTATAGTTGTAATGCCAACCCTCAAAGTTGAAAGTAGATTGAAATCCATTATTTAACAAGGTGGCCTTACTATGTATAGTTTCACTGTAGGTGTGGTAGTGAGAGATAAAATTACTTTTTCTTGCTTTGCAAAATGCCAAACGTCTTTGAAGAGTAAAAGGGCTTTAAAATATGTACTACTTTATGAAGCAAGAAAACCCTACTGGAATATTCTGGGTGTTTACAGAAATGGGTATTCCATGGGAGAGAAAGTGGTAACCTATGTTTTGTCAATATCATTGACAAAACGTAAATTTGCTAATATCATTTATTTAATCACTTAAATTAACAGGCCAGGCATGGTAGCTCATGCCTGTAATCCCAGTGCTTTGGGAGGCTGAGGTGGGAGGATTGCTTGAGCCCAGGAGTTTGAGATCAGTCTAGGTAACGCAGTGAGACTCCATTCTAGAAAAAAAGAAAAAAGAAAGCAAAGCATGGTAGCAAACCCCTGTGGTCCCAGCTACATGGGAGGCTAAGGTGGGAGGATAGCTTGAGCCCCAGAGGTCAAGGCTGCAGTGAGCTATGATTGCACCATTGTACTCCAGGCTGAGCAACAGAGCAAGACTCTTTTACCTAAAAGAAAAATGTTAAAAAAACAACTTGTATATGTATGTATATGTATATATGTATGTATACACAAACACAAAGTAACAGGGAATATATTTTCAGGTTGATCATACAGAGGAAATACTATATTGTATTATTCAGCTTAATAAAATATAAAACAAAAATATGTTATTAACATTAAGTTTGAAAAATTGTAGTCAGATATTTGATTAGAGGTAGGTCCTGATTTGGGTGAATTTGAATTGCATCCAACTAAACATTATGCTTTTTAATATTCACTTTAAAAACAAAATATTTAACTGGGCAAATGTTCACATCCAATTTAAAAAACTATCCTCTGAAAACTAGACTGATAGTAGACATTATTAGGCTTGATGTTGTTTGTGATATTTTGTTATATTTTTAAGAACTTGCTTTTGTTGTACATTTTCTGTTTTGGTGAAGCATTTCCCCCTCCCCCAACTGTGGGAATAAACCTAACAGGTTTTGACCAGAATGACTCTAATTTTGAATTTCTTGAAACAGGGTACAGAAATTAGACATTCTTCAAAAAAATCTTGATTTTTAAGTGTGGTTTCTTGGTCAGCAGCTTCTGTATTATGGGAGAACACAAGAAGGGACCTTCTTGACACTCAATAAATGCTCATTTTCCATCTACAAATAGGAAGAGACCCTTCCTGGCATTTTTGTTTGGTGGGCCCTGAATGAAAATGTATTCTTGCCAAATTAATAACAGTTTTAAAAATTGCTGCCCCTTTAATATCTGAATATATTCCTGGCTAGTGAGGGACATGCATTTGTCAGATCATGGGTGAGAATTCACTTTTATTTTTGAGCTTTCTCTAGCTCCAAGGACAAATTTAGTTTTGCAGAGCAAGTTGAACCTCTAGAAGCCTGAGGTGAGCCTTGATGCAACTCTAGCAGCTGCATAGGCTCAGGAGGACCTCTGTTCCTCCCTTTCTGGTTGGGTTACCTCTCCTTAGGGAAAGGCCGAGAGACTCAGCACTTCCTCCCCAAGTGATCCTTCTTTAATGCTGGCCAAAGGTGTCTGTTCTGGGCTGTTTTCCCTCCAAAATAGATCCGTTTGGATATAGAATTTTTTTTTAGGTGCAGGGTATAGAATTATTTTCAGAATAGCAGCAGGGTAATTAGGCTCACTGTTGACATGCCCGTTCGAGTTTCCCTGTGAAAAAATTGCTCCTCTCTCTTTGAACACTTTGAATACCCTTACCCACTTATCTCCGTGTGCTCTTTAGAAATACCAGCAGATAACTTGGAAGAAGGCCATGATAGCCATGCACAGAGTGGGGAAAATGAGGAGTTCTTTGCTGAATGTCTTTTAGTTGCTTGAATTGGAGATAAACGCAGAATGACCTCCATTTTGCCCTAAGAACCTGACCTTCTTGTCACTTTGTGTAACATTAATTTGCTAATGTGTTCTGGTCAGTTCGTAAAAAGATTTTTTTTTTTAGTGTGTCAGCTGTTGGCTTGACTTTTGTATTTTCATTGGTAAAATATGTACATCTGTGCTGTGAGCAGAGAGAAACAGATTAATAAAAACCACTGAACCAGCATTGCATATGTTATTAATTAACGCCACTGGAAAAGCTGGTTCATGGTTGTATATAAACTTATTTCCAAGCATCTAAAAAATGTTTATAGTTATCTTAGTTGTCTCACTTCTTAGGGGTAGGTTAGGAAGCTGTAACATACATGTATGCACAGAAACTGTTGGACCTTGATTCTCAAACTTTACTTTTCATTAAAATCATCTGCAGGGCTTACTAAAATGTAGATTGCTAGACCTCGTCCATAGTTTCTGATTCAGTATGCCTGGGCGATGACTTAAAATTTGCATTTCTCATGTGGTCCCAGGCATTGCTGATAATTAGTTTTAGGATGTAGATCTTATGTTCTTCTTGGCCAAGGGCAATGGAACTGAATTGTACAGGCTTCTTTTTCTTTTCTTACTTTATTTTATTGATTGATTGATTGAGACAGAGTCTCGCTCTGCTGCCAGGCACCAGGCTGGAGTGCAGTGGTGCGATCTCGGCTCTCTGCAACCTTCTCTTCTCGGGTTCAAGCA